ATTGTCTTTTCCGAAGTAGGTCATATCTTTTTGGTAATACTCGATTGTTACAAACCAAGTGGTGGGGTTTATGCTGTGGCAGGTGGCGGTATTTACCACGCGCGCGGTCCTGGGGACAAGTCCTGGTCGTGCGTCGTCCTGGCCACCCAGCCTCCGGGTCGTTTAATTGGTACCAGACTTGTCTGGGAGGATAAAAACACTGACTTGTACATCGGCTGGCCCCGCAAGTCATTGTATAGGCCACATCGCATTCAAACGCCACTACGAATGTACAAATGGAAGTAGAATGCGTGCCGCATCCCAAGCGGGATTGATCAACGGCAAAGCCTGTATCCCTTTACAGGGTCCATTACCAGTTAGGGGGGGGGGCATGCGGTTTAGAGCGCTCAACAAGTTTAAAACCACGGATAGCATATTCCCTAGTATAAAGGTTTAGGACTAAGCCTCAGAAGGGAGGGAAAACCCCGGGTTCGTGAGCAATCTTCGCTTTCTCCTGGAGGATTTCCTCCCCTTTCCTAGGCTTAGTGGTTAGTTGCTATCAATAGATATCCTTTGCAATTTGGCTGTTGAGTTGAAAAGAAAACAGGACGGCGCAATGTGCTCGGAGGGGGCCAGTCGCCGCGCGCGGCGTTGCGGCAACAGTAAATTCGTGAGCCAGGGGGAATGTAGCCAATTCAGGGGGTGGGGGGGGTGAGGGCAGTCACTTAGCATGCGTAAGAAGCTGGAATGTTCCGTGAGAAGCTGGAACGTTCGAGTTACACTGCATCGCTGAGCCGCGCGCGGCGACTGGCCCCCTCCTAGGCACATTGCGCCGAACAGAACCACATTACAAAAACCATGATAAACAACGGACAACAAACCAACACAAAGAAAAAGCTGATAGCACTCGTAACTTCAAAGGACTCCTTGAGCCAAACTGGCATTAGAGCAGACTGCGCACCGCAATGCCCCTCCTAACTGGAATAGACCCCAATCCGCAGTGCCATAAAATTACATTTTTTAGACCGTCTTTCTACATAGATTCATTTGTTACAATCCCAAAAATTCCATAGTTTCATTTCATGTTGGAACTCTGTAATAGGCACAATTCAGTGGACTAGCATCGAGTATGAAATTCACTTTTGGTGGTAGCGCCAGCTTATGTTCCCGGTAATACTTTATCCCAGTGAGGGTGGTAATAAATATTTCGGGATTGCTGCGCTGAACCATTCTTTTGCTGTTTTACTTCAAGTATGTCTTAGGTCGTGGGTGGCCTGTTGTTGACTATGGGAGTTTGGCTACGAACGGACAGCAGATTCAGAGATTTCATCAGTGAAAGGTGAGCTTTCTGCATGCGCATATTTTTCATTCAGTGTGTTGTATCCTTTTTATCACAATTTTTCTTTTTTGTTTTATTTCCCGCGTTCAGATACCGTCAAGCTGTAGGTGAAGCCTTTTGGGAAGCTCCAACTTTGTATGCATTTTCGTATATTATAATCGTGCTTGGATGCTGCATGATCGTTATTTCGTTCCTTGGTAGGTTGGCAATGTCTACTTAGTACATATATTCTATGTCGCTATTATTAAGAGAAAAAGCTGTTGCAATGTACGGTGACATTGTTATGGCGATGCATTTGAAACCACGTAGAAATAGGTTTTTTTTGTTTTAAACTATGGAAATTTAAGGCGGGGGATAGAAGAGTCGAAGGTGGCGTGAGCAATTGTTCATTTCCTCGAGGCTGCTACCGTCCTTAGAATTGTCCTAGAGGATGCCCGCATATTACAATAGCTTCCGGACGAGAAGCTTTTTTTTTTTGTTTCAAACAAACGAAAAGAAGTCAAAAGTATTATTGTGTGTTTAATGCTGCTGAAAAGCGGCATGACAATCATTTCAAAAATGATCTATGATGACGGCTTCTTAGTTAGCGGTGGCCAGTAATCTTTTCGTTCGTCTTCTCACATGAACAACTGAATGGGTTCTGGCTTAAGGAGGGGTAGATCTTGTTTCCTTTTTCTTTTAGAGCTTTCCAAAATGGATCGCACTTCGGTGTTGTGTCAACGGCGAAACGAGTTTTTTTGATTAGTGCTTACGAGAACGTATGATAACACGGTTACTGGCTCTTCAATAATTTTGGTTTTATTTACTTCCATTGACCATGATTATTACTTGGGAAAGTGCTTCTTTTTTTAACAAGCTTTACGTTCACTTCTTTGTAATTAAAATTCAGGATATTCACTCATTTCTTTATTAAGGCTGTTGCGTTGGAAATGGTGGAAATCGCGCTGTGCTCATATGCTACGCTATAGCACTGTTTCTTCTTCTTATTGGAACACTGAGCTGCGGAATATATCTTTTTTATAAAAAGGATGCGGTTCGTTCCTAGTTCCCTCTATGTTACTGCAGCGTAGTATTAGGCCGGATGCATGAGCTCCATCTGTGCTTGATCCAAGGATCTTCGATATTCAGGTTGATGTAGAACTCTCGGACGCCTTGAATTACATGGTGCAGCATTACTATCAAGGCGCAGGTGTTGTGCAAGAGTCTCTCGATCACTTGCAAACCACATTCCGCTGTTGTGGTAAGTGATTGGTTAATATTTCGATCATACGCTAGACACTTAAAAAGACAATGAAAATGGACAGCTTTATTTGAGCCTCGTACCAGACGCATTTCTTGAATGTTTTTTGAAGGAAATGCTGGATGTGCCGATTTTCGCGTTTTTCGGCAAGATCCTCCACGCTCTTGTGATATCAGATGTGACGGCTGCCACTACAGGTGAATTCTTGGGTTTGTTTTCTTTGTTCTTTCTTCAAAAGAAATTATCTTTTTTTTCAGAATTTGGGTCGCTCTCAGTATAGGTCTCTCAGTGACACTGGTAGTTTTTTCGGCTGTCATCGTGTGTATCGTTCTTGCGTTGGTATTTTCTCTCTATATTCTCTTCAGCCAACCAAAGCAAATTCGTGTGGTAAGTTCCATATAAGTTACCTATTTTACACTTTCTTACGTCCTTTGTGGTGGTCTTTCGTCATCAAATATTGTTCTCACATTGAATCACAATTATAGCTTTTCCATGTAGCTTTTCGGTCGGTGGGGGGGGGGGGGGGGGAGGGCGTAGGGAGGGGGGGGGGGTGATTTTTCCTCAGTGGAATGAACCTGTAAGTCCAAAACAAAACTAATTTTAAATCCATTAATTCTCATCCCTAAGCGCTGTGATTTTATAAATCGCCATCAAAGTTCAACGGATAGCATTTAACTGACAGAGGTTCCGAATGATTCGACTGAAAGTTTCCATCATGCACTCGAAAGGCTACAGAGATTAGTTTAGATGAAGGCACAAGAGACCTAAGCACTGTAGTGCACCTCAATTGCTCATGTATGACAGTGAGCCTGATGAATTTCAATATTTTCGAAAGTTTTTGGGTGCTTTGTTCGAATATTTGGGAGTCCCATGCTGTCTTTGCTGATAATTGGATTTCGTTTGAAATATGCTTTATATTTATATACCAGTTTGGCTGCGCACGCATTCGCGTGCATGAGACGGGGCTGCAGCGGTAAAATCGGGCCCATCAGTATTTTTGTCTTGATTTTAGCTTTCTGCTCGGTACATCTTACTTACGCCGCAAACTCCGCCCACATCCGGGTGTGCCACGCCCAGCGTTCACATTCAACCTCTACTCCTACTTTCACCTCTGGCGTATTTTTTTCAGGTCTCTAAGTCATCTCGGAGCCGAATTATGAGGTCTTGTAAATGGCGTTATGAGTCACGAATTTCTGAGGCAGACCCCGCCCACTTTGGTGCATGCTTAGCCCAACAATGGCATTCAACCCTACTCCATACCTCAATACTTATGCACATTTTCCCCGGTCGCCGGAACTTCTAGGAACCGAGTTATGAGAGCGGTGGCAAACTCCGCCCACATCCGGGTGTGCCACGCCCAGCGTTCACATTCAACCTCTACTCCTACTTTCACCTCTGGCGTATTTTTTTTCAGGTCTCTAAGTCGTCTCGGAGCAGAATTATGAGGTCTTGTAGGGGACGAAATCGAGCTACGTATCTTTGTGGCAAACCCCGCCCACTTTGGTGCGTGGGTCGCCCACTGATATCAGTCGGCTATCATCTCTTCCCCAACCTTTTTCTACTTTTCTCCCATCTCTGGAACTTATTGGAACCGAGTTATGAAGTACCGTGGCAAACCCCGCCCACTTTGGTGCATGCTCCGCCCGCCAACAACGGTTGACCCCTTTCCCTCTGCCAACCCTTATACGCTTTTTTCCCGGACTCCGGGACTCCTAGGAACCGAGTTATAAGCCTAATTGCAAACTCCGCCCACTTTGATGTAAGCCACGCCCATCCCTGACATTTAGCTTCCCCTCCCCTCCTGACCTCTATCCGTTGTTTTCCGGTCTCTAAGTCATCTCGGAGCCGATTTATGAGCTCTTGTAGAAAATGCTGTCCGCTTCACGACACGCTCCGCCCATTGTGGGCGGGCCTCCGTTCACATCATGCGTGGTGGAAATACCTTAGGCATTGCTCCCCTGCACTAATTTCGTTTCTGGTCTGTAGGCTTCCTCTTAACCGAGTTATGAATATTTTCACTGAGCACCCATTTTCTAGAGAACGCCCCGCCCACCGAGGGTGGGTCTCCTCAGTTCAATCTGGCTTACCAACCCACACCTATGCCCACTTTTGTCCCGGTCTCGAGGCTGTTTTGTGACTGAATTTGAAATCATGGTCCTCAGTACCACTCATTTCGACGCACGCCACGCCCACTGTGGGCGGGGCTCCGCTTAGGTAATGTATGTTTTTTACTTCTCGAGATATGGTACACCCATCCCAAACATGACCTGGACCCAGTAGGTTGTTGTCCGCTTAATACGGAATTTCGTGACAGACAGACAGACAGACAGACAGACAGACAGACAGACTTAGCGCATTATATATAGTAGGGATATTTGAATTCATATTCCTTATCAACTTGACAGCAATTTTTTATTAGTTCGGACGATTCTTTCAAAGCGTGTTTAGTTGAATAACTAGAAAATTCCATATTTTGTAGGTCGATGTTGTTCATAGGAGAGTCGCGAAACCGACTTTGAGGAAGGAGGCGGTCCAGCGTCACAACTTATCATACGATTTACGGAAACACTGACGGAGAAGCTACCGACAAGTTTTCGTTTACAAATTGGTTCATTTCACTTTCCCACTTTGCACTTATTTGAGCATTTCGATGGAGCTGAGCTCATGTGCTTGCTAACGTTTCATTCCAGTTATTTTCATTGCTTTCGACATTCTTCACTTACTCAGATCACTCACTTACTCTGATCATCATCTCATGCGCAATCGAAAAAACGCTTTATCGGTTTCATTATAGCAGTAATAAAAAATGTATAGTTTGTATGACATGTGGAAAAGTAAGAAAAACGGACCGAGAAACCAAGCAGTTTATCTACGAGAAACATTTATACACTTTCTCCAGGCAATCACCAAGAGACTCACCTGTAAGGCAGCGCATACGAAACTTCAAAAAGTCTTTGAGGGAGCCTCAAATGGTGAAAGTTTTCATTTTTAAAGGCAAAGTTCGGGCTCAGACCCACCTAAAGAAGCCCTTACCATGGCTAGAAGTGCTGGGTACGCAAGTGCAAAGGTAGCGCCACCTTTCTACATCGAAACGCGTCACTAGGACCCTAGGCGCCATGGACTTCTAACAGACTCCACCAAACTTAACATGGTCCGCCCACCGTTCGATATCTTGTCTGCGTCGCCACGTTGATCTGCTATGCTCTCTCTCGGACTTCTCTACCACTCTCCGCGCTCACATTATCTCTCATCTCCCTGCCTGTCTTTTGAACTTCTCCACAGCATGGAGCAAAATGCTCGTATTTCCTGTGTATTTCAGGATTTTCTTTCCTTTTTTCTCCACTGGCGGTCCACCTCCCACCCCTACTTTCACATTTG